TATAATCTAATATTTTCATGTGGAGTCCTTGGGGTTCTCTGAGCTTGGTTCTTTTCTTGCAAACGTTTCATTACCTGGCTAGGTAACGTCTTCAGTGCTAAAATGGGGTGCGGTTTGCAAGAAAAGAACCAAGCTCGGAGAACCCCAAGGACTCCATGGTTCAACCCTGAGCTACACATATGCACCTCTATTGCTAATATTTTCATGTTATATAATATGCAACAGTAATATTAATAATGAAACCTTGAATAACAGGATTCATGAGATCAACAATGGCAGTATGGTGTGCCAAGAAATGTGCATTTACCGAGCAATGGATCAGACATGTTTCTTTGAAGATTAGCAACTGCTTTGTGCACCTCTTCCAAGTACTATCATTTTGGCATACAGGAATGAACGAGTGAGTGAAAAGTTAGGTGGAAATGAAGTGTGGAGTAGTCCAAAAGGATTCCAATTCTCCCCCAAATAAAATAAAGACAGATGTGAAAGTATACAAAATATCTTCATATGTGTGCTTTTACAACAAATGGGGTTTTCTAGAAAATAAGCAGGGAAGGGACAGGAGTAATGGAAGGTAATGAATATTATTCTAATCTCAAAGCCATGTATAGCCAAAAGCTAGAGGAGCAAATATCTATACAACACCCATATCATGGGGCAGTTTCATTTCTGTTCTACTCTATTTTTTTTTTTTTTTTGGTCAAGAGGAAAAACAGATGAGGGTAAAACAGAATGATTAAAGGATAATGTTGTCCAAATGCCCATGAAATTATGCAATGAACACTGCTTATTAAAGTCTGTCTGAAAGCAATCTCACACAGTAGATCAAAGAACATGGTTATAGCTGATGTTTGGAAAGACAGCAGCTTTGATGCTTTTAAAAAAAATACTACATATAAAATGATATTTTTACATTGATAAATACTCTGAGATATGTAGAATGATTTCCTTCATCACTGACAAACGCCAGGAAGGGTGACAAACAACAGAAGGATCTGTACCTCTGTTTAAGTGAATTGCAATAATGGGCCAAAGGCCAGTTCTGAAGAAAGGAATAACAGAAGAGAATATCTGTAGCTCAGGGTTGAACTGTGGAGTTCTTGGTGCTCTCTGAGCTTGGTTGTTTGCTTGCAGACATTTCATTATCCAACTAGGTAACATCATCAGTATGCATCAGTAATGAATCATCTGCAAGCCAACAACGAAACTCAGAAAGCACCAAGAACTCCACAAAAAGGAATAATGCATTTATCCACTGCACAATATAGCAGGTAAAAAATTAATGAACCAGGGAAAGAGATTAAGTTTCCACTTTTAACCAGGCAAATTAAGGACAATTGTTCAGCCAGTCACCAGATTTGCGAGACAAAACAATAGATTCAAAGGAATTCTGTCATATTTAAGAAGCCTAACCAAGCAGGATTGAAATTGAAAACACCAAGGGTTTTATTACAATTACAAATGGGAAGGGAGAGTTAATACAGCTGAGAGATGAATCAGAGGACTTAGAAATACTTCCTCCCACAGGCAAGCTTTGGATTCAGTCCCATGACTGCAGGAAACAGGAAAGAAGAAACAGCAAAATGTTCCCCAGGCCAACTGTAACTGAAATTATCTAAGTCTATTGATTCAGCAAAAGCCCCTATTTCTATTAAATATTATGATTTAATATATCAGCATATAGATTTACAGAAACTGAAGTGGTTTACAATTGCCCGTTAAAATACAAGCAGCAAATTAAAATGATTAAAATGACATATTCAATTTAAAAAGTGAAGGCAAAAAGGAAAACAGAAATCCAAAGCAAAATTAATCATAATTTCTCCAAAGGTAGTCCAAGGTACACAAGAGAGCTCCCTTTCTGAAAGAGGCTGTATTTAAAGGGCCTCTACTCTTGTGGAAGTAAGAAAACTATAAAAAAGGAAGAGCGCAAGTCTTGAATTTCCCATCAAACTTTAGTACTGTTTATGCCAATGGTTCTCAACCTTGGCAACTTTAAAATGTGTGGACTTCAACTCCCACAATTCCCCAGCAAACACAACAGGAAAAGGCTGAAAAACAGCTATAGGGACCCAACCAAGTCAAAAAAAGGGCAAGTGTCAATATTTTTCCTGACATATATCATGTTTTTGTGATGAAAATTACTTTCCTTGATTATGTCAGAAGTGAGGCAGAATAGAGGAGAGCTTTTGAAGATTCAGAAATCAGTCAACGCAAGCATTATCTTGATGAAATGTATCCTCAAAACCTGTCACCTCTTTTTCTGTTCTCTATTATTGGTGTGAACAAGATGAAAATGAGTATACATGTAGCTCTTAAGATATACTGATATTCATTTTCAGTCCAACTGTGATACGCCTGCACTGGCATGTTGAATTGCAATAATTCTGTTGCTTCTTCACATACTTTTCTTAGACCTACCCAAAGTATTTCAACTAGCAATTAAAAGGAATATCCATGCTTGCAGTATACAAGCTTATTTTCTTGTTTATATATCACTCTCTACATTCTACATTATGCATGTCGAAATATAGAGCTAAAATGGACAGTGCAGTTTTGAAGACATTTGTCCAAATTTAAATACAACGTATGTATTTATTACTTTTTTTAAACCATTTAGTAATAAAATAAACCTTATATGATATGTAAACTGATAAAATGTAAATTATAGCATAGTCATTTAAATAAAACAATTAGCAATGCAAATATCTATATAATAAATATTAATGTTTATGGAATGCAATTTTCCATACCAGAAGATCTGAGCAGAAAGAGGAGTCTTTAACAGACATCAAAAACATAGTACAGAGAAAGCTTCACGTATGCTAGGATTATAGTAGTGAGACATATTTGCACAACTTATAGATCAATATAGGCCTATTAAGTTTATAACAAATTGTATATACTAAAAAATGTATTAAGGATATTTCAATTAATATCTCACCATAGACATCTGCGAGCCCGTTTAGTGTAGTGGTTGAGGCACCAGGCCAGAAACTGGGAGACTGTGATTTCTAGTCCAGCCTTGGGCACAAAGCCAGCTGGGTGACCTTGGGCCAGTCACTTTTACTCAGCCTGAGAAAACAGGCAATGGCAAACCATTTCTGAAATAACAGGGACTTGTCCAGGCAGTTGCCAGGAGTGAACACTGACTTAAGGTGCACGCATACACACAGGCACCTGCAGGTAACTACAATGATGAAGAAATGACATGTTTTGTCATAAAGACTCCTCCCCAGCCCCAAAGATGCCAAGCTGACATGTCTCTTCTGGCCATACAGCACTCAAGATAAATAACAGCAATATTAACTCAGAGATTGAATAAACATTTTTGGATTGGAGGAAGGAATAATATACTAATATTTCAACCCTATCCTATCTTTAATACTAAGATATAAAGAAACTGGGTATGCATAAATTTAGTTGCATAAAAGTGGAAATGGGTGTTAATAATGGATGCCAATTCTAGATAGAAGATAGTGACAGACAGAGGAATTAATTGAATGAGAGCATAAGTTAACCATTAAATTTTTCAGATTCTCCTTTAGGATACCTACAACAGGCTGAGTATATCTAGATGGTTTAGCCTCCAAAGGCGTAATGCTATCATAGGTCATAAGGGATGCATTTCACCCATGTCAGAGCTCTGAGAATGGTTTCTTTGCTCAGTCACATACATGTTTATGAACAATATAGTAAAAGTTCCCTGTATCCCACCCCCCCAGCCTCATTTACCAGTAAATACGCAGAGCACAGCAAATAAAATTTTCTGAGATCACAGTTCACATGAAAGACAAACTTTACAGCCCAGCAATGTATTTTATAATATACATGTAATATTAGCAAACATATACTGAAACTCAAAATGGTACCTCAGAGACATTTTAAGAATCTAAAACAAGGCTTCTAACTTTGATTTAAAAAAAAAAATTCTTTCTGCTCCAACTGAAATGAAATGAAATGAAATGAAAGAAAATGTTGGAAAGTAAAGGAACTTGGAACCGTCTGTCTGTTCCTCAGCAGGAGAACTATCCAAAGTCTTAACAGAACAGGACATTTGGGGGCGAGGGAGAGAAGGCGGGAAAACGAGCCGGATCAGGTCGGGAGCTGTGGAGGAAAAACAAAACTAAACACCCAACGCATCCTTACGGGAGAGGCAGCTGGTCAGTTCCCTCTACTATCCCAGTCATGTGATTCAGATCAGAGTAGTAGCAGCCCGTCGTGTTTCCCAGGGCACACGAACACAGACACAACACAGCGGCAGAGCATACACGGAAGCAGATACATAACCTCACACGCTATGTGAAGTAGCCCTTTAAAAGACAGAGCCCTGGATAGGCTGATTCTATGCAACCCTGGCATTTGTAGTATGATTCCAAGCATGCTTACTCACTAGTAAGTCTTACTATTAAGGCTTCACACACACACACCATTGTGTACTGCAGATGCTGGATCTTACAGTTTTCTCCCTCTGGTCTCTTTGGGAGCGAATATTTACCAGTAATAAAAGATACACTCTGTAAATGCTCCTGTTTCAAATCCAAGAGGGACATCCATACCTTGACTTTCATTAAACAATCACGCAACTTGTCCTTTCCTAGCGTTGCAGCTCGAGAGAAAAACCCCGACTGAGAAAAGTCCTCCTCCAGCGAATCTTTTTACGACTGCCTTTGAGCATAAGCAGAGTTCTTTTTCTTCGCCCACTGTTAACCATTATAAAACTACTCCACGCGCATATTTGGGGGAGGGTAGGAGAGGCCGTTTCGAGGCACTGTCGGTCCCGAGCAGCCTTTTATATTTATCCACCGATTCCTCCAAGCGCGAACTGCAGTGTGCATCGTACAACAGAAATAAAAACAAGGGTGTGCGCTCATGGGCAGGGGCCCCTCCCTGCAACCACGAGGGTTCTCACTTCTGTGCGCCTAACTATTATGTTACTCCATGAGTGACTGTGTATATGCGTGTGTGTGTGCCTGTCAGGTGACTTGGGTCACGCAGTTTCTCTCCTCTGGGAGGGACTGTAGGGCCTTGGCTGACTTTCCTTTGACAACTGCGACGAGGAGGAAGAAAAAGAGAAGGAAGGAAACAATTTAGGCTCGAGTGCCCGAGAGGCAACCTGGAGAGACGACACCGCGGGAAGACCGGTGCTTGGCAAGGGCGAAACCGGGGCGGGATCAGGATGAGCCAGGTGCCAGGGAAGTTGAAGGAGCAGGAGGACGACGAAGGAGCGGAGGAAGAGGAGGAGGAAGAAGAGGAGGAAGAGGAGGAAGAAGAGGACGAGATTGTTGGGCTAGCAGATTACGGGGATGGGAGTGAGTCTTTCTCGGATGGCGACCACGAGAAAAGCGGGGACGGGGCGTGTAAGTAGCTCCTGCGACTGCAACGGAGGGAAGGCGAGGGAAGAGCAAGCAGCCTGTCCTTACGACTTCGCTGCCAGGCCCTTTGTTTGGGGCGGAGTGAGCAGGAAAGAGGGGGAGGGGGGAGGGCAGAAGCCCAGGCGTCCGCACGCGGGAGGTGCGCCCATCTGAGAGCGCGCCCCAGAGAGGAGGGAGGGGCTGCGGGGATCGAGTGAGGTTGGGGGCGGCTTGAAGTTAAAGTTGGGATCTCCCCCATCTTCGAAAAGCTTGGTTCCGTGGTGGGTGGGAACTGCACCCTGAAATTTGCCCCTTCTGTTTGACACACGTTTACCCATGGTTAACTGAATCATGGTTGGGTCAGCTTACCCAATTGTCTGCGTTCTCGGCATATTGAGCAATAAATTAGCCACACGGGTTTGGATCTCGCAGCAGGTTAAGCTAACTTGCTCCTTGCAGTTCGGTGTGCCATGTGAATGCAGCCTTTCTCTAGGGCAGGAGGGACCAAGGGAGGATCGGCTGGCTTGAGGTGAGAGCAAAGATGGTTGCCTTCCATCCCGCCACAGATTCCAGTGTTCAAGAGTCATTAAAGGCTAACCCTTAAATCTTATTTCAACACAGGCAATGAGATAATGTTTTTTTAAAAACCTGAGGCCAAACAGCTAACTTAGGGGGTGCAAGATACTATTTTTTAAAATTAAACTTATATCCAGCTTTCATTCAGGAACACCCTCTGCCTAGTCTTCGCTACAGCTCTGTAAGGTTGTCAGAGCCTTAGATGCAGCCCTGTCCTCTTATAGCAAGGATGCACAAAAATGCTACGGCCTTTTTTATAGTACTCAGAATGGGTAAGGCCAAAGACTGAGGCCCTTTTTTGCAAGTTGGAAGTGAGTGTGGCTTCACAGAAAAAGAAGTGCCATAGCCTTTGGGATTTTCAAGGACCTGAGACTCTCTGCCAACACAGGCCTTGGCTTCACCCTTGTTTAAGGGAAGGTAAGCACCCTTGGCAGGAGACTCATTCTACCTAATAGTAGAACCTTTCTTATATCTAACACGGTTTAAAGGAAATGAGAAGTGAAAAGGAAATGTCTCTTTTTCACCTGTGTTCTTGGACAGAACAAGAACAAGCTCAGTCTTTCCATCTCTGCTCCTTAGAAATATTTCCCACAACTCGAGCTTCTCCTTTTCTTTCCTGTTACTGCTGTGGAAGGGATAGGAGATAAAAACACAATTACCCCTAGTTGGGGATTTTAAGAAGAAATGGAAAAGGAAGTTGCTTCCGGGCCATTCAGTCACTTGGCCCTCTTTCTTGAGCTTTGCTGGCCCCACTTTATTGTTTTTGCTGCGGCTACCAAATCTGGGCTGCAGAAATCCAAAGGTTTTTTCCTCCCATCTAATGGTTTTCCATTAGTAATTCTGCTTCTTAATAGGGATCCTACCATTTTTCTCATGGCCACCCTTTGTGTTTTATACATTCTGTGCCTGCATTTGTAGGTGTACAAAAAAGTGGCAACACTGGTGGAGAAAGGAAAGTTAGGAGGAGGAGCAGAGCTTTGGGAGCAAGGAAACTGGGCTTTGAGGATAGGGAAACAGTTGAGTGAGAATGCTGTAAAACAAAATTTAAATGTGTGCATGAGCAAAGACAAAACTTAGTACAAAATGAGGGAAGAACGTGTAAACTTGGAATAAATGAAAAGCCTGAAGATAGAGGGCATTTAGGAGTAGGCTGGTACAGGTATTTGAGAGTTGGTGGGAAATTTAATAACTGAATGGAGTTGGTGTTTGGGGTAGCTTATAGTTGGCCTTTACTATGAGAACATAACGATGCTAAGACTAAGATGAGTTGGACAACAGGCAAGATTTCCCTAGAGTCAGCTAGCAGTATATGAGTGTGCTGGATTGAAACATATTTGTGTCATGCATTGTGGTGATTTACAGAGAAATCTGACCTGACCTCTTGGGATGTGTTCTAAATTTTTGATGGGCCCCGATATTGGAATTGGAATTTTTAGCAAGTAAGCTTTTTACTCCTATTTTTTGCTGCATATCAGAGCAGAGGCAGTTTGCAAACATTAATAAGCTAAGTTTTGCAAAAAATCTCAGAATTTTAGTTAATGCTATGGATGAAACACTAAGGCTAGAGGCTGAGAATGTGTGCATTTGCCCCTAATGAAAGAGCTGAACTGGGATTTGGGAATTTTCCTGATGTTCAGCTCAAACTCTTCGATACAATTATTGCAACAGGTGTAAAAGTAGTTAATGGTGGATGGGTGTAAAATAATAAAAATAAATACAATAATTCTTGTTCTCTGTATTTTATAAGTAGGCACAAAAAGCACACAGTTGCACAAGATCTAAGTTTAAATAGTGGTCTACTGGATGTTTCACACACAGCACAAATGCCCCAAATCCCCAAGATGAGCTTCAAATAGCCTTTTACATTTCTGCACTGTACTGTACGTTCATATACATATGCATCTTACAGTTAAAAGGGGGTATTTAGACATGACCCCATCCTTTGTTTAAAAAGGAAAGTTAAAACACGTGTGCTCCCAAAATGCATATAAAGTAAAGATGAATATAGTACTGTAGGCAGCTAACTTTCTGAAAGGTCAGATCTATCACAGAGATTACACAGCTCTAGGTTTTCTGTGTCCAACTGCTTTGAGAGCATTGATTGAGGATCTGAGGAGGGAACAAATAGATCTCAAGTATTGTCAGTTGTGTTTTGTGGGAAAGAAGAAGAGAAGGGGGAGGGAAGAGGGAAAGAAATGTGCATGTGACTGAACAATAGTGTGTAGTCCTAGCATTAGGAGAATATGGAATTCACAGATTGGTGGTCATTCAGCTTATTATGTAGAGCCTTTTTTGGTGTCAAATACTGTAAGGAAGAACTGGGTCTAGATAAGGAGTGGGAGTGGGATGAATGTTAATGAGAAACTAAAGCAAAGAGTAGGTAACTATGAACATTGAGGGGAAAATAAGTTATAGGTGGAGGTTGGGTTCAACCTTTATTTTAAGAGGAGAAAAAGAAACCTTAGTTAAGAGGTTGAGATCTTAAATACAACTTGAAGAAAAATATTTAAGCAATCTTTTAAGATTGCATTGTGGTGGAGGTATTCAGTATGCAAGCAGAGTGTATGTATCATAATGATAGGAAGTTTTAAGGAAGGCTGATTTCAGATCCATAAAAGGCAAGAGCCATAAAAGGCTGGAGTTCAGAGTGCCTTTGCAGCTGTGAATGTCAGTCTCCGTATTGCAGGCTGTACTCCAGCCAGTTGTCCTTTTGGTTAGGTTTTTTTGTTTTTCTTTTAATAAAATTGGTGCATTGAAGTGATGGCATTAAAAATATGTGTATATATACTTCTACAGAGAAAAACACTTTTTTTTCTAATGGTTCAGCAGAGTTAAACTTTTGGCTTAAACAGAAAATGTTTTTTACAGGAAACATGGACTATTTTCGTTTTAGACTATACTCTCTTTGCCTTTACTGAGAATAGACAGATTGCTTCAGATGTTAGGTTTCTTGGAGCGTAGCCCTAAATAATGCAGATTGTGTTTTCTGATATGAATACATAAAAAGGCTTTTTTCTCTTTGCTTCAAAGAGGCTGTATTGAGTTAACGTTGTTGACATGCAGTAGATACAGAAAAAGAGCTTTTAATAACAGTGTTTTGAGGAGCACTTGCTCCTCTTAGAACATAACAAATATTTCCAGTGTACATGCCATAGAAATGGGTATACTTTTCCAGGTTCTTCATCAGATTACTTCCCGTGATTCAGTTAACATACGTGTTATCTCAAGTTTCAGAGCTCTTCTCTGAACTGTTTTGCCTAGACAGAAATTATGTTTCTGAGCTCCATTCCACAAATAGTGGATGGGGATAATGGAGAGGTCTTGAATCGGCCTTGTGAAAAAGGAATAATTATCCAATGTATATCAGCTAAGCGTTGTTTCAGACATGCTAACTAATTCTGGGCATACAGAGGATAGCAAGGGAATCCAAGCCTAGCATTTGTTCCTGATCCTCAGCTTGAAACATGGTCTAAGAGATTAGCTATGCTACATGCAGACAAATACATTGGGAAAATAGTTATGAGAATAAATTCAGGATCAGAGAATATCTCTCATTACTCTAGCTTTCCTAAATGGAAGCAAATAGCAGCCATTGACCTATCCAAAGTTCTACAAAGATCTATAACCTTAATTTCCTTCAGCCTGTAATGGAAACGTGCATGCTGAGTAGGAAATACTATACTTTAGAAGAGTAAGGATTTTCCTTTCATCTGGATTGGATCTATATTGTCCATTTGGTGAATGGAAGGGGTCCTTTTGCCCACATTTCACTTCAGTGGTATATCTGAATTTGGAAGGGTTGGGCAGGCAATCTTCACAACAACCCTCCCCTCCCCCAACTCTCCAAAAGAGCTTTCAGACCTATGGAGTAAACCTAAAAGGATAGTTAGTTTTTGAGTTATAGAGAGGATTGAAAAAATCGACAGTAAATATAATGCCACCAGTCTTTGCCATTTTTAATATTTTCTATTTTATTCACTGCATCTGTTGCACTGTACTGTAATAATTATAGCATCCAATCAGAATCAAAATAGCCTTACAATTATGAAAAAAGCCTTTTTGCTTTAAAATCTTAGCTCATCTAATTAGCTACAACTTTAATTCATCTAATGATTAAAGTTTACAGCTCTGTGAGATGGGAACATGGTAAGGCGTATGCAATATGGAATTCTGATTAATATCATCTGCATTTATTTCCACACTTTGTGGCTTATTTTGCAAGAGATGTGAGTTTTTCAGACTAGTAGGTAAAGATAAAAAAATAGCTGGAAGTATACTATTTAAAGATAATTATCAGTCATTTCAAAGTTAATTCAGCTGCTCTTTGGTACCAGAAAAGAAAGAATCCTTAGATTGCAAAGAAGAGTTAAAATAATAAATTGAAATTACATTCGGATTTGGATGCAAGATAAACATAGTTTTGTACACTAAAAAACTAAACTAAAAAAATCTGGTTTTATTCAGTTCTAGATTTCAGTGATCCTTTTAGTACTGAAGTTAAGCCAAGAATCCTGCTCATGGGACTGAGAAGAAGTGGGAAGTCTTCCATTCAGAAAGTTGTTTTTCATAAAATGTCACCAAATGAAACTCTTTTCTTGGAGAGCACTAACAAGATCTGTCGAGAAGATGTTTCCAACAGCTCCTTTGTTAACTTTCAGATATGGGACTTTCCCGGACAGATTGATTTTTTTGATCCTACTTTTGACTATGAAATGATTTTCCGTGGCACTGGAGCACTGATATTTGTGATTGATTCTCAGGTAAGAAGAAGATGATGATGTTAAACCAATTTGACTTTTTTAATCATACTCAAACCTTGAATTTGCACAAATGAACACTACTTGACTGTAGATGAGTGGAATAGATGATGAAAATTAAGGAGAATGTGACTAACTCTCTAGAGAATTGCAAGTAACAGGACTTCTTTTTCCATGTCTTGGATTCCCACTGCAGAACATCCCACCTTTTTTAACCCTTTTCCTAAGTATTGTTGGAACTGTGAAATGCAGTGTGAGATCTGCAAATGGTACAATTTGATAGAAATCAGAATTCTACACCCTTGGATGAGGAAAAAGCCTTCTGCCATAAAAGGGCCCCTTTGGATTCTGTTGTACAGTACGTTTTTATTTAGATACTACAAATACCTTCAATCGCTTGCACTTCTGCTTCCATATATGTAACCCATCAGAGTAATCTAAAGTTACACATTTCCTGCAATCATAGAAATGGTTATAAGAATTGAAACTAAGATGGAGAATTGTTTTTAATTTTTTGAAGAGCAAGGTAAACATAATCCTTTCACGTGTTCCAGCTGTTAATGTAATGTGAAGTTAGGTCCAGTGATGTAAACTCTGATGAAACTGGTATTCAGAACATTTTTAAAGTTACTGGTAAGAGTTGCCTGTTCAGCTCCTTTTCTTTAAATGTGTCCTAAAAGTGCCAGGAAACATCATAAGCTTACATTGTTGACCACAGCAAAAGCAGGATGATATTGATATCACATTAATTGCATTACAGTTTTGTTCTTCTGTCCATCCAAGAAACTCAGGGTGGCATGTCGTATCTCTCCTTTTTATCCTCACAACCACTCTATAAGACAATTTATGCTGAGACACAACCCATTGCCTAAGATCACCTAGTGAATTTTTATCTTATTGGGGAATTGAACCTGGTTCTCTACTTTGTTAAATATTTCATAAGATTAAAAAAAAGTTGAACTTTTACTCCCTTAACACAAAATTATCTTTAGTTCTGTATTCCAGCTTTAGCTTTTTCTGCAACGATCAAGCCAGAGTTTCTTGTTTGAACGTGGAATTGAACCATTGACACATATATTTAGATTTGCTTAGCTTAGGGGCAAGCAACTTTTCCAGGTAGGGGCCATAACTCAGGTTTTTAACCAGCATGAGATAATTTTTTTAGCAATTTTATTGTTTGAGGTTCATTGAAGGATAATAGAGATGGCATTTTACCTCTCAGAAATGTGGCATATCTGTTTCTACCCTTATTTTGGCATTTTTTGCACCAAATATCATTGTATGGGAAATTGACCAATTTGTTGCTGAATTTAAGCAGTGCGATCTTTGAGGGTCTAAATGAAATACAGCCTAAGAGCTGCAGGTTGCCTATATGTGGTTTAGTTGCTGCAACTTGCAGGAGTCAAGTGAGAGTGGCTGGAGCACTGTGTATACATAGTACCAATGCTTGATAAGCCAGAAGTCTTGATAGTCCTCCCCACATGAAAATGTGGA